ATTTTGATTAGGAGTCCTTCTTTCCAGTCTTCCGGTACTTGTTCCTCATCCCAAATCTTATTGAAAAGAATGTGGAGTATCTTTGCAGTTGCCGCTACGTTTGCTTTCAGTGCCTCTGCTGTAATGTTGTCTGGTCCTGCTGCTTTGCCACTCTTGATTTGTCTGATGGCCATGCTGATTTCTCCAACTGTTGGTGAGCCAATATCGGTTGGGAGGTTCGTAGGTGCTGCTTCGATATTGGGTAGGTTCAGTGGGGCTGGTCGATTCAAGAGTTCTTTGAAGTGTTCTACCCACCTGTTTTGTTGCTCTTCAATTTTTGTGATTACCTCGCCTTCCTTGCTTTTCACTGGTCGTTCTGGTTTGCGGCGATTTCCAGAGAGTTTTTTTGTTATGTCATACAGTTGTCTCATGTTTCCTTCTCTTGCAGCCTTTTCCGCCGTCGTTGCTAAATCTTCCACATATTTACGTTTGTCGGTTCTGATGCTCTTCTTCACTTGTTTGTTTAGTACTGTGTATTCAGCATGTGCCTTGGCTTTTTCTGCTCTTGTTCGACTGGTATTGATTGCTGCCTTCTTGTTCCTCCTTTCTTGAATCTTATCTAGTGTATCAATAGTGGTCCATTCCTTGTGATGGTGCTTCTTGTGTCCCAGGACCTCATGACATGTTGAATTGATTTCCTCTTTCATCCCCTTCTAGTTGCTCTACATAGGAGTTCCTTCTCCACTGAGTAGATCATAAAAGGACTGGAACTTATTGCTGAGGACTATCTTGATGATCTGATGCTATATCAGCTCCTCTCTTGGTTCTCACGTCCTTTATAGTCATCCTGAACACCCAAATCATAGTTAAATATACGAAATGCCAGTATAAGGTCACCTTGTGTCCTACGATACGACAAAGGGAAAAGGTTTAGGCGTTTTAAACGCTCATCGTAAGGGAGCCTAGAAAGACCCTTCACTGATTTCGAACCCACACGCTAGACACGCTCAATGGAGTCAGTATCGTTTAACAGACACGGGCTAGCTGCGTGAATACAGTACTCTAAATGTGGTCTAACATATATGGGATATAAAATTCGAAAAGTTTCCTCATCAAAAGACTTGAACGCTCGGCGAAGTGATCATAACGCACGTAAACCTTTGACTGCGGATGCTTTGCAATGCCTAGTTGTTTTTAAACCATTACTTAATACTGCTGCTAAGTCTTTATGTTCTTGAACGCATGGAATATGTTTACACTCAATAATGTAACGGTAACTATTACCGTGACCGATGTGCATTAGTACACTCTTCCTGGCATTGATTTCTGAGCCCCGATCTCGAGCAAATCTAACTAAATCGTCTAAGTCAGCTTTTATTGTTCTCCAGATTTTTACATCATCCGCAAACAATAATGTCGACGACCTAAGTATTAGCGGTAACTCATTGACGTAGAGAAGGAAGAGCAGAGGGCCTAATATGGTGCCTTGAGGTACACCGCTTAAGACCGGCTTCCAATCGGATAGCGTTCCGTTGACCCTCAATCTCTGTCTGCGGTCACATAAGAAGTTTCCTATCCACTCATGTACAATGTCCATTATTCCGAAGCTCGTGAGCTTCTGCATAAGATCTACGTGTGAAACCTTGTCAAACGCTTTGCTAAAATCTATGAATATCACATCGACAGACAGACCGTTATCTAGGGCCGTTGTCCAATCCTCCCTCGCAATAAGCAAGTTAGTCAAGCATGAACGCTTGTTACGAAATCCGTGTTGCTCAGGAGCTCACAGATTGTGTAAATCCATGTGGCTTAGCAACCTTACCCGAATTATCTTTTCAAGTAACTTAACGACTATTCTAGTTAGACTGACAGACCGGTAGTTAGATACTATCTGTCTCTGACCATCCTTAAATATAGGACTGATTATAGCGTCCTTCCAATCTCCAGGGAGTTGAGCGAGTCGAAGGGACATGTTGACGAGTGTCGCGAGCGGTTTTGAAATAATGTCCGCAAAAGATGACAGCAACCGTGAATGTAACTCGTTAGGACCCGGCATCTTGCCAGGTTTGAGGTTAGTTATCAACAGAAGGACAGTTTCCTCAGTCACCTGTACAGATTCAATGGTTGGTATCTCGGTGTGAGTGGGACAAGTATTCGTTACAATAAACGTAGAGTAGGCTTCGCTAAAATAGTTTGAAAAAGTCTCAGCTTTTGCTCGATCTGATTCAGCTAGTATATCTGAATTTTCGTATAACAGTAACGGAGGAATACCATCATTACGTTTCATTCGCCCTTTGGTACTCACGCGTAATTGGTGCATGACTTGTCAACAAGAATAAGTCCCAGAAAATTTTCCTACGCTTTAACAGCTTTCGGTTCTCCCCTTATTAATCCATGGAGGGCAATGTGATAGCTTACGTACTGACCATGGAATAAACGACGATGTTACGAACTCGAATTTAGCCTTAAACTCATTCCATTCATCTTCGATCAATCCATTCGCGTCGACTGACCAGTCAGTCGAGATAACAGAGTTTCTGGTTGCCGGAATGTTAGCTCGCCAGATATGGGGACGGGGTGGAGCAGATACAAATTGTATACCATATATCCTAAGCTTAAAGTGATTTACAACGCGATCACTGTTCATTAGTGGAGGAAGGCGCTGAACATCAAAGACATCCTCACAGTGGTGGGTGAGGGCGAGTCCAGCAGTGACGGAGCATGTTGCAAATCAACATGTGTCGGTTTTGTGATACATTGTACAAGTGGACACTGAATAACGGTAGATAAAATGTCGCTATCGAAACCACTACCTGGAGCTGTAAGCTCTATCCAGTTGATATGCGGTGCGTTGAAGTCCCCAATGATGAGACAACATTCTGCCATACTCCAAGAACAGATATCTCTTAGGATAAAGTCGTCAGCAAGACAAGACGGACTACGGTATATTCCCCCTATAGTCACTAACCCCTTTCCAGATTTAATCTTACAACATGCAACCTCACATGTGCCACTGATATGAGCCTCCGATATGGTTGTTTGTATACGAAAGTGATCCCTAACGTATAATATTACACCTCCCCCTTTGCGACTTGAAACTCTATCACTTCTGATACAAATATAACCAGCAATGAAAGGAGGACAGTCTATATCAACGGTGAACCAAGTTTCTGTAACAACGATTATATCGGAACATAATACTTCCACCATCAGACTTAGCTCGGACGTTTTATTTCTAAGACTACGAGCGTTCGTGTAACACACACTTAAGGTGTTTTGGCAATCAATCGTTCTACCCATACAGGCCTCGGAAGCATTGGCTTCCAAGACCTGACTACCCGAAAAACCTTAATGGTAAGGTTATTTTCGCCATTTAATTTGCGAGTCCTCAACTCCGTAAGAGTATTCTTCCACTTGATTCGATCCTCAAGCGACCAATCTGGTCGAATACGGATATTTGAGTCACGAGTTTTTAGTGCGTTTTTCAATAATATGTCTCTTTCTTCAAAACTCCCGAGAACCAGCTTCAGGATTCTTCTTGGTTGGGTCTCGCCTCCAACCCATTTACCAAGTCGTATTACTTTTGTAATATGTACCCCTGAAACCTTTTCAAGTAGTACATTTCTTACCACAGACTCCACTAACTGCAGGCCAGTGCATGTCTTCTAGCAAAGTCGTTGTCTTTCGACTCCTCTAGATTCCAAATAATTAAACTAGGGAGGGGTTTAGTTTCTTTTGAAACTGTGTTCACACCTTTCGACCGTGACGTTAGATCCTGTATTTTAACTACTGGTATCTTACGATTAGTTTTTATTTCAACAGAGTCCTGAGAGTCGATCGAGTGACTCACAACAATGTTAGACGAAGCTTTACTTTTGGACTTTGGTGGATTGGTCTGAGAGTCCACCAAGGACTTATCAAGTAAACAGTCATTAGTTTTAGTTGTCTTTCCCACTCTTCTGCGTTTTCACGTCGTCCATTTTCCATCAGTCTGAACATCTACATTAGAACAACTCGGGACAGTAATTGTCTTATCTGGATCACTAGTCGCAGCTGTAGCAATATGGCCACGAACGTCTAATGATGTGTCACTCACTGATCGTTTCGGGGAGAACGTTTAACTGCGGGTTGCACAGGTAGATGTCTGGATTGAGCCATGAGAGCACTTACGACAATGACTCAGTCTCCGCCATCAGTGACAATGTTACCAGTACAGTCCTCATCGACTTTCTTATTAGCCAACATCAAGAGGCCAACTGCTTCCTGGACGAGTAATGTTTTGCTCAAGCAACAAAAACTACAAAGCCAATGACAGTTGTGCTTTGAGCACCTTTTCTATGCAGTGGGTCTTAATTGGGTGCATATCTTATGGAACCACTTATTGCATTCAACATAGCATCCTTCCTCCACGGGAAATAAGCAATAAGGCTGTCCACATCTATGAGCAGATCTAGCCATCTTGAAAATCAACTACAACGGTGACATAAACAGGATATGTAAAAGGATTCTCAAACCTTAACTAAATAAATCAAGTAAAAGTCGACCAAGTATACTTCGATGCAATAAATACACAAAAGCAAAGTCGAAACACTCAATACAATATCACTTTAACTGGATTAGATGCAATTAAAGTGTAAATAGTAGTTTTGATGCGTAATTTACGATCAAAATAGTTAATTAACTCAACGAGAAACAATATCGCTGTCCTTTTAAATAGAGCGCGAAAAAATCAAGTAGCCAGATTGTTTACATTGAACTGTGCCAAAGACCTGAAAAAGCATTTCAACTCGAAGAAACTAGAGTAAAGCACATATTTAATTTTTCGACACACACGGAGATATTGGACGCTGATTACAAGACGGCGCCGGGTACGGGCTTTCGTGACCTTGGACTGTGCACTGCCTGCGAAGATGGCGGAAATGACAATCCCCACTTCGCTGTGATTGGTCGCCAGGTTGACTGCCGATATTACGAACCGGAGTTGAGTTTGTTTTCAGTCGTAGATGCACTAGCATTGTAAAATGGGTTCTCTCCTCGAAGGAATAGACGACCATGTCGCCGTTTTCATGTCACTTCCCGCTATTGTTCTGTTTTTGATTGTCGTTGGATGCGTTTGGTATGCACGTCTTAATAATCGTTGGATTAATTATGCGACCGTAGGGGATATTTTCGACCATCCACACGTCCTAGACAAAGTACCCAGTCTTCGACGAGAATTAGAAGTGTGAGTAATTCGGATTATGATTGCCCGATATGTATGGAATTCCCGTCACTCATGATTGAGACGAACTGTGGTCATCGATTTTGTGGTAAGGCTTTAGTTCAGATCTTAGTTCCGTACCATTCATTTTTGTATATAATTTATCTTTATTTTCGTCCGTTGTTTATAGACAATGTTCTAAAGGCAACAAATTACCCTTGAGAAACTCTAGCCACTTACTAAAATCGGAATAGAGTCATAAACTAGTGTGGGGAAATATAATTGAAATTAGGGATTCGTTCAGGGAATGACGTCAGTCAGTGCTTTAATTCGACTTAACTGTGTGAACTAATACTTTCTTGTCGAAAACCCAAAATATACTACTCCAAATATAATTGTTTCTTTCGTAGATTATAGTCACTGAGAAACTAGCAGCTCGATGTTTTCATACAAAGTCGCTTTTGCAATCCGTCTTTTCTGTAGCAATTGATAAGTTCACTATCATCAAGAGTTAGTAGACAAACTGACCGGTCGACCACTTGTCAACCTATTGTCTAAAGAAGCTTGGTTTACAGATAAAACAACTTCATATCGACAAACTATTTCTATACCGTGGACAACTGGTTAGAGTGCCCGTTCATGGGTTTAGGTATACCAAAGTCATAGTGGTAACTAAGATCATCTGTCCATTCATAGTTCAAACCTAAGTATAGTCGTTAAGGTGTCTTTACTCAAATATACAAATCTTGCGGCTTGTCTTGTGAAGTCCCAGTCTGAAAAACGGCAAAAATAGGCACTTTTCAATATGATGTGCTTGATTTTTTTCATTCCATCCGTACAGCCTTGAAACTATACCACATTATTAAAGCAGTTGTAGTCCAAAATACATTTTGTGTAAATTAAGCTATAATTCTTTGCCATTACTTTTTATACTGGGGAAGTGAATGGTAAGATAAGGGTCCTCAAATTTATCAAACCTTTTTTTATTATTTATCTAAACACAAACATTGGTACAAGGAGGCACCAAATATATAGGCGTCTCGGGGATATTGTAGTTTATAGACGACCTTTGAGCGAATCTTAAGTGTCCTTGAGGAATATCGATCAATCACAAAACAGTTAATATATATTATATTATACAAAAGCAAGGGATTAAAGTGGATACACTTCTTTTACATGGTTCAAAAACTCGTCAAGGTTGGAAAAAGGTTCAGAGGTTCTAAAATCTCAATGCATACGTTAGAGGAAATCGTCCGTATGGCTGTATATTAGCCGGCATCTGGAGCCATGATAAAATCTCAGAAACTCTTCCAGCCTCGACCACATAGCTTCAATATTGTTTGTTTGCACTCCGGTTATTGGGTCCATAAGTTGCCACTTCTGGATAACGACACGATGCACATAACAAAGTCTATGCAAGCATCTGTACGCTCTCCAATCATCTGTATATATTGTAGTACCTGGCTCCAGCCAGTTTTACTGGTGCTTTTATTATCCAGTTTGCAACAATTATCATAATTTACCTTAATCTCAATCTGGATCGAGCGGAAAAATCCTATTCTAGCAGACTTCTTCCTCCAACACATATTACCTCGAAATACAACATCATGGTAATCTACACAAGGTCCACAAATCATTTGATTACCACAATCACGAATAAAGGGATTTCTTAGGATCCCCATTTGTTGTAACCGCCCAATTATCACATTTTCTCTAAGATCCACCACGAACCCATCGTACATTAGCATCAGGCACTGAAATTGGCGCTATGATCTTGAAATCCTTTAGACGTTTCTGATTGGTTCGTCCTTAAATTATAATCTCGCCATCAAACCATAAATATTGCTCATGAAACGCAGGTTTCATGATACATAACTCTGGTTAATCGATATATTTAGTGTTTCAAGACAATAGGAGCCAGCAGTAATGAGTAGTTTCACTGGAGAATTATAAACTATTGATATTTAGGTCTAGTGTAATTGCCAAGCTATTCCACAACAACCCACAGTGACGCCTCAGTCCTGTCTATTCCCCTTGGTAAAGCACACCTGATCAGATCAATGTATAAATGGAGTTTGGCCTTCATCTATGAACAGTGATGAGTAACGAAAATATATGTTTCTCTTGTTAGGTTGTAATAAACTAAATCTTGGTTAGTATCTCACCCTAGGATTGGAAACAAACACAAAGTTTGACTCTCAGATGTTTGAATTATAGCGCTGTACTTAAATCCCCGATTGGACAGACTACGTCCACTGAGAAGACACTCAAGTTTGAACACCTATTCAAATCCACAAAGTGGTGTGTTTTATGTATTATAATTTGATAAGCTTTTTCGGCTAGTATCAACTCTAGTCATTTCAAAGTAATCATTTTAACCCGGTTATTGCGAACACTTGTGGTGTATATTTCCATATGATAGCTATTAAGTTTGAAATAATTCTAAGTCCAGAGATAGGAAATAAATAAATAGATAGTATGATGTAGCTCAATGGTTAGTTTATCCATCTAACGAATTCATTGCAGTGGAATAAAAATTTGATTATGCTCGGCATTTCGAATAACCTGTTTTTTCATCAATTTATGTCGTTTTTACCGATATATATATATATATATATATATATATATATTATAATTTTTAGCTGAGTGTTTTATTCTTCATTGGAAACGGACAATATATTCACGTGTCATATCCTGTCCTATGTGTCGTGGACGAGTAAGTACAACAATTTTAATTCTCGTTTTCAACTTTTAATGCTCGTTAGGTAAATTTGTGATCACAATTTATGGACGGCTTATAATGTCTTATTTATTACTCTTAGTCAAAATTTATATCTTCGTAGTTCATTGATCTTTTTTTTAATGAACAATAAATGATCCTTCTTTCAATCTAATTTATGTTTGAAATAATATATTGCGGATAAAATCATTTTTAGGAAAGCCTGTTTTTAGATAACGCGTTTACGTTGTGAAGATTAATATATTATTATTAACATGTTTAAGTGTTGCTTTTAACTATTTACTATTCTGCAGTGTGATTCTCAAGTATTAAATGTGCTAACATTGTAATCATTGATGTTGTATGTTCAGAAGCTGACTGTATGCTCATTGGACTTTTCCTTCTGTCTTACATTGTTGCGAATTTCCAGATTCATGATTATCGTATCCGATATCCAACTATTATTTCATGTTCCAACTCTGTTCTCTTTACGAAGGTTTCTACATTGATTCAGTAAAATTAGTTTTTACATAATTCGTGGGGCTCATAACTGAAGATTTTATGAATTCAATAAACTGTCAAGTTCATACATTATTGTTTAAATACACCTATACTTGTCTCGAGTTCATTTTTATCTAGGCTAACCGAATTTATTTGATAATCACAAATAGAATAACTAACCGTTTGTGTATGTTAACTGTGTTACTTTCCAAAATTCACTAAATGTTCAGTTTTGTGGGGATATTACTGACTTGACTAATTTCGAAAACTAATCATGAACAGATCTACAAATTTTCCATCGGAAATATAAATCTAAAAAGAGCTTTTTGTCTGTGATAGTACGCCAAATAAGCTCATTGTGTTTTGACTAGAATGAAGTTATTCATTTGCAGAAAGCTCTGTTTCACTGGGTTCTTTACACAACTTATCGACTGGCTGGAACAACTGTTCCTCAAAGTCCCACAATGTCAGACAGGTCGGTTGATGAGCGGTAAGACTAAAAGCAACAAACCCAAGGTCCGAAGGCGAAGTCGTACTGCTGACTGTACAGAGGTGTGACAGAAGTAAGGTGTTTCCTTCAGACAACCAGCATGACAGCGATGCTGCCTTCCCACAAGGAGGGATGGGGTTAGGAAAGGTCGACCCTAAAAATGCACACCTCGCCTTATCCCACGGATATCCGTCTCCGGCGGTAAGGTCCCAAAAACTACGGAGCTAACACAAAAATTACCCATAGAAAGGTCGTGTGTGACTGTTGTGACGGATAAATGCTGATTATGGAGCAGCTACTTATCGATCGACTCAGTGACACGGAAAACACGTAAGAACGGCCTAGTGTCTCGAT